GAAAAAATATATATAAACTATTTTTGTGTCAAATAGGAGTAATCATATTCTTTACCCTCTTCCAAGTGCATAAAGAACATTGACTAATCCAAAGTTTGGTCCATAATTCTGTGATTAGGCTGGGAGGATACTGGCTGCCACTCGTGCCTGCCCCTCCAAAGCTCCCACTACTCCCTCCCTTAAGGGCTAACAATCTAGGAACAGTTTCCAATCAATAAAATCAATTTGGGGATTTTAATCGGTCACATTAAAATCTCTAATTCTGCATCTAACAAAGTATATTTCTCTATTTATTTGCATCTAACTCCATGGATGAAATACTCTACTATGAAATCAAATGTGATTCTCCTCATATAGAAATCATAGCTCTTTCAAAACATATGTTTCTCAACACATTTTAATATTTCAATTGGCCAGATCAAAAAGTAAATCAAAAAGTACAGATCAAAAAGTAAATGAAGATCAGGGTTCAAATCATCACAAATTATTGACATTTAAAACCAAAAAAAAATAAATTCAATTCTTTACAAAACCATATCTCAAAATAGGGAGAAGGATAAAAAAGCTACTCAGAATTTATGAGAAGGATACGACAAAACACGAGTTTCATATATAAAAATAAGTTTATAAAGCAAAGGAAATAAAAGACACAATTTATCTCACAATCCTTCATAAGCAAACTCTTAGAAGTTCTCTCCAAGTCTTTCTCTCTTTATAAACACTCTCAATTCTCTCTTATAAGTGTAATGAAGAAGAAATATTTCACATTCTTTGTCCTCTTACAATCCTTGAAGAAAATCTCCAATCTCTTGACTTTCTCTCTCTCTCTCTAACTCTCATTCTTCATGCCACCCCAAACTCCGCCCTTCTTTGAGCTCTAGACTTCCTTTTATTTTATTAAAGGTTGCCTTCCTCCAAAAAGAATTCAAAATTCCCTCCAAAATTTTATCCAAAGGTCAGCTCTTTTGAATTCAAGTAAATTTTATCCAAAGGTCAGCTCTTTTGAATTCAAAAGACATGTCCATTGATCCAAGAGGCATATCCCTTCATAAAAGAACCTTTCAAAGTGTCTAGATGCATTGAATCACTCCAAGGGGTGTTTAGAACAAATGTCTCTTTAAAAATTCATGCAAAATTCGTTTTGAACCACCTTAATCCGCAAAAAGTCATCACTGGTGCATCTGGCACCAAATTTGGCCCATCCAACGCCAAATCTGGCGCATCATGCGACAACTCTCCGTCAAATGGTGCCTATGGCGCCAATCTGGAGTGTCATGCGCCAGTTTGCTGAAGACTACGTCATGCGCCAATATTGAGCATCATGCGCCAATCTAGAGCATTAAGTGCCAGAATTCGAAAATTCATTGTTTTGGCTCCAAATTTCGTTCTTTTTACTACTTTTGCCCCAAATGCCTAAAAATGATATACCTGCAACAAAAAACATGAAAATATGCTTTTTAAAAGTGCAATATCACCAAAAATATAAACTTAAAATTGCATATTATTTTGGTGTATCAGCAAGTTTATGCTCAAATGAATTAGCAGCTACAACAGGGTTTTGTATACTCAATTGAATTTTATCTGCTGTAGGATTAACATAATCTCTTAAAGTTCTCTGATGATATTCATTTTCATTTCCAGCATTACTTGAGTTACAAGCCATTTTGCTAAAATGATTTGTCTCCTTTTGTTATTTTTGAACTTTTCTAATAGATCTTTCTAACTCCAAATCGTATCTTTCTAACTCCAATCTTTCTAACTCCAAATCGTAAGGTACTAAATCTTCAGATCTTAAACTATGCATAAACAAACACCGTAGGCAATTAAAATAAGCAAACACACTAAAATATGAAAATATTTAAACTACTTTTTTAGTTAAAATAAAATGATTTAAATTATAAAATAATTTACTAACCCTTTCCGTTACTTCTAGAAAACGGCGCCAAAAACTTGATGCGAGTCAAATTTGTGTGTATTATTTTATAAATATTTTTCCATATTACAAAATACACACGGCAGCAATAATAATAAATATGCGATATAAATTTTAAAAAATTAACTTTAGTGAAAATAATTTTTTTCTTGTAAAACCTTTAAACTATCAAATCCTCTAATAATAATGCAAGTTCGCTCAAGTAATAAAAGGTTCTAATGAAGTCCTAGATGTCGATCCCACAAGGATGTTGAAAATGCTTATAGATAAATTCTTGTAATTATAATGTAAATCACAATTTTAACTACAAAACTGAAGTACTAAATCTGAATCTAAAGTATTAGTGTAAAACTAATTGCTAAACTTTAGAAGTAAACTTATGAAAACTAAACAAAATTTCTGAGACGAAGAGTTCAAATTTAAGAAATATCCTTCCCCTTTACAATGAGTATATGGATTGTGAAGAAATTAAAGTCATTTAAAAATATATATATAATTATTTTGTGTCAAATAGGAGCAATCTCATTCTTTACCTGCTTCGAAGTGCGTAAAAAACATTAACTAATCCAGAGTTTGGTCCCTAATTCTGTGGTTAGGCTAGGAGGATATCGACTAGCACTACAGAGCTCTCATTACTCCTTCACTTGAGGGCTAATAATCTTGCATTACTTTCCAATCAACTAGACCAAAATGAGGATTTTAATATGTCACCTTAAAATATACAATTCTGAATTCAACAAAGTATATTTCCCTATTTATTTGCACTCAACTCCATGGATGACATCATCTCCCATGAAATCAAATGTGATTCTCACTATGTTGTAGAAATCATAATCCTTTCGAAACTTATGTTTCTCAACACATTTTAACATTTCAATTGACAAGATCGAAAAGTAAATGAAGATTAAAGTTCAAATCATCACAAATTTTTTGACATTTAAAACCGTATAAAACAAAATCAATTCTTCACAAAATCATATCTCAAAGTATGGAGATGGATAAAGAAGACTACTCAGAATTCATGAGAAGGAAACAAAAAAACATTGATAAACTCTCTCTCTATAGAAGTTCTCTATCATATATAAAAATTAAGTTAACAAAAATAAAAAAGTAAAAGACACAACTCATCTCACAATCCTTCCTAAGTAAATCTATAGAAGTTCTCTTTAAGCACTTTTCCTCTTTACAAGCACTCTCAATTCTCTTTTAGAAGAGTAATAAAAAAGAAATCTCTCACCTTCCCTCTCCTCTTACAATCCATGAAAAAAATCTTCAAGCACTTGACTTTCTCTCTCTCTCTCTCTCTATTTCTCTCTCTCTCTCTCTCTCTCTCTCTCTCTCTCTCTCTTTCTCTCGCCTCTTCGAACTCTCTCCCTCAAGCCTCTCTTCAACCCCTCCTTTGATGCCCTAGACTTAACTCTCTAGACTTACCTCTCTTTTATTAGAGGTTGCCTCCCTCTAAAAAGAATTCAAATCTCTCTCCAAAATTTTATCCAAAAGTCAACTCTTTTGAATTTCAAAAGACATGCCTATTGATCTGAGAATCATATTCCTTCATAAAAGAACCTTTCAAAGTGTCTAGATGCATTGAATCACTCCATGTGGCATTTAGAATAATTGGCCCTTTCAAAATTCGAGCAAAATTTGTCCTGAACCACATTAATACCAGAAAGTCGTCTCTAGCGCCTCAGACACTGGTTCTGGCGCTTTAGGCGCCAACTTGCTTAAGACCGCACTGTTCTAGGTTTTGGAGCTACAAGCACCAAATCTGTCGCTTCAAGCGCTAACTCTCGGTAAAATGGCACTTTGGACACCAAATCTGGCGCTTCAAGCCCCAGCTCTCTGTAAAGTGGTGCTTCGGGTGCTAGTTTTGGAGCTTTAGGATCCAGAATATCAAAATTTGTTATTTTGGCTCCCAATTTCGTCCTTTTTTTGCTACTTTTGCTCCAAATGCCTAAAATTGATATACCTGCAACAAAAATAAGAAAATGCTCTTCTTTAACGTGTAATATCACAAAAAACATGTATAAAATGTTTACTTAAAACAACACATTATTTTGGTGTATCATATGGTTGACGACTATTAATCCTCAGACAAGAAACTTCTATCAGCAAAGCAAGGCTAAGCTGGAGAGTAAAGGGTGAATCCTTGTAATCCGATAGACAGCTTACTTTTTGATGAGGGGTGTCCTTCAAGATGCACTATATGATTAAGATATGACTAGTTCTCGATCTCGGATGACGAATGTAAAGGGCATCCGCGAGATGGTTGGCGTGTGGAATTCTTCTATTGGGCAAGGTTATGGTGAGAGATAGGTCGATACCTCTGCTCGGACAATTGGCTCTTGTTATTGGTTCAGATAGCCTACACTCAGTTGATCTCTAGCCCCAGTTCGTGGGGGTTATATCTAGTCAAGAATGTTGTTCGGTATTTCGCTAGTGATCTACTGGTCTTCAACTTGTGGACCCTTGGTCATTGCCTATGGGAACTTTGATCTTTTGTGTTCTTTCTCTTGTCGGCGCTCCATAGTCCTCATTCTTGTCCTTTTGTCTGTTGGATCTCCTCTGGATTAGTGCAGACGCATCTGTGATGTATGATTGCCAATAATAAAAAATGAAAAAATATTACTTGTAGGGAAGAAAATATAATGTGAGAGAAGAGGTTGTTAATAGGGTTGTCCAGTTTGCTAGACTTTTAGGGGAGGAACTCTTCAATCACAAAATTTTGACTCTCATATGCTCTTAAATTTTATCTAGATTTCTGCACTAATGAAGCAAAACTTTTTTTTTTTTTGGAAGGTTTACATACATACCAATTAATTCATATTTATCTACATATGTAATGCTTAATTTTTATTTTTTTCATTTTGTGTATTTCATTATTTTAGTTAAAATGGCGAACTTTCTTTTTGTGAAAAAAAAAATATTTGACTACTATAAATAAAATTAAGAAATGTATAGTTGTTAGGTATGTAAATTTATAGGAAATGGACGGTATGTATGTATGCCGCCTCTTTTTATTTCACTCTCCCTGACAACGTGAGTTGTTTAAACATTCCACACGCAGGATCGGACCCAGAGAGCTTGAGATGGAACGTGCAATCCGAACTAGTGCACTGTCGATGGGCAATGCTTGGTGCTGCCGGCATCTTCGTCCCCGAGTTCCTAACCAAAATAGGCATTCTCAATACACCTTCTTGGTACTCCGCGGGCGAGCTCGAATACTTCACCGACACCACCACCCTCTTCATCATCGAGCTTATTCTCATCGGCTGGGCCGAGGGTCGACGTTGGGCTGATATCATCAAGCCCGGTTGCGTCAACACCGACCCTATATTTCCCAATAATAAACTCACCGGCACTGATGTTGGCTATCCGGGCGGGCTCTGGTTTGACCCGCTGGGCTGGGGCAGCGGTTCGCCGGAGAAAGTTAAGGAGCTGAGGACCAAAGAGATCAAGAACGGACGCCTCGCCATGCTTGCCGTCATTGGCGCGTGGTTCCAACACATCTATACCGGCACCGGTCCAATCGACAATCTCTTCGCCCACCTTGCCGACCCCGGCCACGCCACCATCTTCGCTGTAAGTGCTGGCATTTATAAATTTTAAGAGGATTTATGATTTTTTTTTTGCATTTTTGTTTTTTTTCATGTTAATTAATTAATAATTGTCCTGATGTTGTTCAGGCTTTCACGCCGAAGTGAGAATCTAGAAGGGAAGGTTTGCGTTGGGCCTCAGACGAACATGCTTGGAAGATGGTTTGTTGCTGGGATTTGCTTTAGTATGTTTACCGCTGTGGAAGCTGTTTGTAATGTGATAAGTAGTGTTACGGAAACTTAAGGGAGAAATGGCTTCAGTACAAATTTTTTCTTTGTGGTGTGGAATATGCCGTCATCGGTCTTCAAAGTACGCTAAAATTATATCAAAAGCTTTAGTAATAATCGAATGTCACATCAAGAATCTTATCGAATATAGATGTGAATATAAATGTTTGCTTAAGCGATACTTAACTTTGGGGCTTCATACATATTATTTCACAAATTTAAACGGATTTTTTTTCAGGCGATTCACAAAAAATTGATTTGAAAATTCCGTTCAAATCAATTTTTTCTGCCTAAACATTATTATAAAGAATGAAGAATTGTTTTTATTTTGTTTAAAATGTTTACTTGTTCTTGGTGTTAGGCCCCAACCTAAATAGAAGGTCCCAATAAATATTCTCGATGAAAGGACAATTACCATTTAATAAAAATTATCATGCAGATCTTTCAATGTTATGGTAACATCTTATCAAGAAAAATGAGTAGTTATGTTGCCGTAAAGTCAAGGCAGTGGAATGATAATTTAACATTTTAATTTTGTATGAATTTCTAACACTAACATAATTAAAAGAAAAATAGCAGGAGACAACAAAAAATTTTACATAGATTAGCCCTTTAGGGGAAAAAAACTTGCGGCCTAGCATAGTCAAAAGTAATTCACTATGTATTTACAAGCATATATGTGCAGCCTTCTTTGTCGACCGGAAGAGAAGAGATTACAATCTTGCACCAAAAATTAAACTAGACTTTATGCATTATAAAAAAAATATTAGCGTTGGACACAATAACCACATTTTGTGTCCATTAGTTGCATGTAGAGGTCGGCAACAGTCGATGGTCAATGAGGGCGGGTGGTGATAGAGTGGTGGTGGTCGATGTGGTCGATGTGGCCAAACAGAGGTGCATGAGAGTAGTTGGAAGCTACGAAAGCTAATGATAAATCATCGAGTCTTCTCTCTAGAACAAGTTTTTGAATTTCGGTTAGTGTTTTCTTCTTCCCCCATCAAGTGACGAGAGATGGCATATTAATAAGTTTTTGAGGAGGGACATTTTAGTCTTTTGGCGCTTAACTATTCTAACCACCTAATTGAAAAGTCCACAATGACCCTCTTGATCATAGATGGTTATTAATGATTTTGGTACCATAATGATTATGAAATTTTGAGATCTTAGGTTCATTGATGCTCGATTCTACTATAAATATGTCAAATTTATGGTTCATTTGATCATTCAATTGTTGATCTGAAGCCTGTAAAGGTACTTCAATGGCTTTATTTGGGCTTGATTGGACACGAATTGAATAAATTTCAATATCATTGGATTAGTCTTATCGAGATAGTTGGTTTGACTATAAAATTATTGAAAATAGGGCCCCACATGATCATGAATTTAAATTTGAAAGAACATTCATAAAGTGCATTGATTTTCATGCTTGGTTTATTGATGACACATAAATTGTCACACTATTTTTTGTAATGTTGTTTATGATGTCCAAAATATAACTTAGACATTCCCAAATTTTTTAGTTGGAGGAGACTTATATGTTATGGATGCTCTCTGGAGTCTTGATCGTATTATCATTGTTCAGGAAGCACTAGCAAGATTTGGACAATGGTCAAACAATGCCAATGGCCATGTAAAGGTGGTCTAATGATGGCGGTCAATCAACACTGGTCTAGTTATGATGATAAATGATCCCACAATGGCGGTGGTAGGCATTTGGATGCAAAGGCATGTATGCACGGGTGAACGACACATCATTATAAGCAAATGTGTATGATTATTTACTTATTTAATAAATTCCACAAGTAAATATGAACGAGATAAGGAATGCAAAGATATACACAAGGGAGAGCAGCTTTGCGTATGAGTGAATGCATGGGCGTGCACGTTGGCTCCCTCATTCTTGTGCGAATATAATTATGTGCTAGGTATGAGGGAGTGCAGGCAACTAGAGCGCACAGGGCACAGATACAAGCGGGACGCTGCAGGGCTACTTGAAGGGTGTTAGGGCATTGCAGGGCTACACGTAGGGAGTTCATGCGTACAGGGTGTGTGCGTGGGGATTTTTATAGATGTGGTGTGCGCGTGTATGGGCAATTGTAAAACCGTTCCAAAATGTAGAATGGTTCAAAAATCATTCCAGTGTACAACCACTGTTTCACAAATGTTTCCAATGTAGGCTATTATTTCCTTAACCTTTCAAGTTGTTATTATATTATTCATTTAGGTAGTTGTTGCCAACCCATATCAAGATAGGTTTTATTTAATTGTTGTTAGGATATTTTTGCTTAATATACGACTGTAAATTTTTTTTAACTCGTCTCAGAGAAGACATAACACTTATATTTATTAAATCTAATGTATTTTAATTGAAATATTATCCCCAAGTACAAGCATAGGGACATTGAATTCTTATGAGGTTTATGCCTTATGAGATTTTAGATGGATATTTTGCTTTTTAAATAAGTAAAAATTACAATCATATAGCACATATTCTTTATGTAAGGACAAATTTTGTATCCTTTAAAGCTCGCTCCTTCAAAAATTTTTAAAATGTAGTTTTACATTTTTAGATTTATAGCCTTCTAAATTTTTTTGAATGCATCTATATTTTTTTAGGCTTACAGGCCTATGATAACTTTCTTATTTGAGATTTTTTTGTGTGCATATACCTTTTAAGGCTTATAACCATCCAAGATTTATTAAGTGTTCATTTACCTTGTGAGGTGTGTAGCCCCTGAGGTATTTTGAGTATACTTGTACCTGATGAGGCTTATAACCCTCTATAAGTTTATCTACATCTTAAGAATTTTATAGCCATTTGAGATTTGCTTAGTGTACATGTACTTTCGAAGGCTTATAGCCCTCTGAATTTTTTTGAACCCATACTTTTTTAGGCTTATAGTCTTCTGAGTAGTTTTATGTGTAATTGTACATTTTTGAGGATTATAGCTCTCTAAGATTTTTTGAGTATAAAGGTGACTCGTAAGTTCTATTACTCTGTGTGATTTCTTATGTGTATCTGTATTTAAGAATTATAGCCCTTTGAGATATTTTGAGTAGACATGAACCTTCTGAGGCTTATATCTCTACAAGATTTTTTAAGTGTACCTGTACCTTATGTGGCTTATAGCCCTTTGAGATATTTTGGGTTGAGATCCTGCCAACCACTTGCTCTCGTGGAATTATTCTAGTTAGGACCTTATACATCATTAGCTCCCCATTGATGCTACCACATGGGCGTGCCTTCCATTAGTATGGTGGAGACATTGCTTGTCAATAGCCCTTAAGGATTCTTTCTATTGAAGATTGTGTCAACTACAAGCTTTTTTTCAAGTCTACATCATGGGTGTGCCTTTCAGGGTTATGAGTGGAGATCTTGTCTGTCATTTTTCCTCATGGGGCCTTTCTTCTAAATATTTTCTTCACTGCTAGTTTCTCATTGAGACTCCTCATGGGCATGTCATCCACGGGTATAACATGAAAATGTCTTTTTTTTAGTATTTTGCTCAATGCTTGTTTTTCAATGAGCCTAGATCATGGGCATCTCTTCTAGGGGTATAAGAGATTGTGTATGGCACTTCATATAAAAGAATCAGTTTGCAGATAACAAAAATAAAAAAATTACTTGAAAGATAAAGTTTTTTATTTAATAATAAAATTAAAAGATAAATTGTTCTATTAAAAAAATAGAAACTTCCATGATAATATCTTTTAATATATGAAAGTAAAAAGTCTACTGTTGAAAAAAAAAACATGTTGTAGTTATGCTCCTCTTTCAATAATTCATATAAATTTATTTCCATAACTCTTCTGATTTCTATACACTTTTCAAGTAAATAATATCCCAAGTGACATTGACAAGTCAAATGTTCAATTTCTTCTTTTAAGTGACTGCATCATTCTATAAAAATGCTCTTCTGAATGATGAAAACAAAAATATTGAGAACGGCCCCCATCATATTTATTTTGAAGGGTTTTGACCGCTTAGTTAAAATTTTAAATTTTCAATAAGATTATATTTCTAAATGTGTTCAGTGGACCATGATTGGATGTCTCATATTGATAATATTTTTCATATATTGACTTTGCTTGCTTCTTTATCCTTGAGGTTTGTGTAACTTTTCCAAATGTGTTTCTGTTTGTCAAAATACTTTTCAAATTTGCTTTGATCTGAATTAATAGATTCATTAACTATTCTTTGAGAATCAATGTGATTAATTAGGCCAATGTATGAGTAATCTATCACTCCCATTAATGATGTGTGAAAATTTCCACGACATGATGCTCCCAGCAAGATGCCTCTTAATAATTCTTTCTCAACACCGAGAATTTTATGAGCCTCAATAAAGAATATTTAAAAAATATTATTTAAGTAAATTTTTTTATTTTGACAAATCCCAGGAAGATGAGAGGAGTTCTTGATAATCTTTTGATTTGCTTTAGGTTTTTGAATAAAGAGTGCAACAAGTTTATCAAAGTTATAAATAGTTTCACTTGGGAGTAAATAGAACCAAGTATGTGTTTGACCTTTTAGGGTGGTGGGAAAAAACATGATAGAGGACTGTATCAATGACTTATTGTATATGTGGGGCGATTCTGTAATGATCTTCATATCCTATGGGTTAGACATCCCATGAAAAGAGTCAATGCTAGAAGCTTGAATTCTGCTAGAATCAGGTGTTAACAAATTATTTCGTCCAAGGGTGAAGACCCTTAAGAACTTTAATGAGTAAGAATTTGACTTTTGTCCCGCAAAGGGAGTTCTTCTTAAACCATATAATGTCGCTCGTTGTGAATTGCCTGATAGAGTTGAGCTAAATTCCCTAATATTGTTGGAGGTTTGCAATATGTTATGGCTGCATATGATTAACATGTGGAACTAGTAATATTCATAAGATTAACTTCATGAATCAGTTAAGGAAGAGCACTAGCACGAGGAGGAGCTGTTGGTGGAGCATTCTATATTTGGAGGTCCCGGATTGGTGGTTGATCATGGTGTAGTGAACCTCACACGTTTATGTTAATATTGATTATGGAGCTTCACATAGTAGTGATTCTTAGTTTGAAATTCCTCCATTCTTCATATGCAAAATTTTAGTTTCAAATAGGATGCATCTTCACCATCAGGTCAATGCCTATTAGAATGAGAAAAGAAAATAGAGGATTCTCGCC